CCCCCCCCCCCTCTCTCTTTCTCTTTCCTTTCTCCTTTGCGCGTGGACCGTGCACAAAATTCTCTCCATCCATATCCTCTTTTTTTTTTCTATAAAAAATACTCCGTACCCGGAAATTAATAATACAAGAAGTCTGGCTGTCGAGTTCTCACCTTGATACTTTCGTAATTCCACTTACGGTTGCGCAATCCAAAGAGGCGTACGCGAACCCACAATTCCTCTTCCTACCGCCACGTCCCGATCACCCCCTGTCACAATATCCATCCACGTGTCGCTCCATCCCCCAGAGGCTTCTCTTGTAAAACCTTCCCCGGTTTTCCTGATCGTTTTTAATGGAGCTAGGAAATACGTAGACCCTGGTTAAAAAAAAAAAGAAAAAACGATACAGCTTGTGGATCTACAAACAGCGTTTTCATCCGCAGGGCGAGATACCTCAAATGCAGGAAGTAACGCATCCTGTAGCAGCGAACGGACTCACGGTGGAACGGCTCGTGATACGTTGCGCGGCGAGTGCAGGTCGTGGGCTGCAGAAATAAAAGAGAAAGAGAGAGAACGGGAGAGAATGAGCGAAGCCCCCCGCCCCCGTCCTCCACAACCCTCGTAGGAGTCGAAATCATTGAGAGAATCTATGCATGACTCACGTAGAAAAGTTATTTGCAAAATTTTCAACATGGTTCGAGCATCATGGAATTTCGTTGGAAGACGCCCAGATCTCAAGGAAAACTCGTGGGCCAGATCAGCGCTGGGCATCGTGGCTGCTATGCCGTGAGAACCTGCTTATTACGTGAGCGGGCGAGTCCCCCTCGCCACACCCTTTGTCCAGCAATGCAGGAACCGATGCGAGGCCAAACGGTTCGCTGAGGGATGATCAAGGCGGTCTTAAGATGAACGGAGTACCGCGGGAAAAAGGTTTCGGAAGGGTTGCGGAATATCCTTTCCTGATGAGCAGCAGGTATCCCGTTTATCCGTTTATCGGAGCCAATGAATAGATATTAACTATAGGAAGCAACCCTTTTATATTCTTGTGTGGGATAGTATTCCTGATTTGGATGATATTTCGTGTTTTTAGGATTTACTTAATTACATAATTGAGTAATTTACTCTGAGTCGCTTTGCTTGAATTTCTATACTACCTTTATTATTGTGACCAATCAGGCTACGAGGAAGTATGCTCGTAGATTCGTGGTCACTGTTTCTGCATTCTTGTTTTCATTCCGTATATTATTTTTGAATATATTATCTTCAAGCCTTTTTGATTGGCAGCATTTTCTTGCAACGAATGTAAGGGTACGATTTAGCTTAGCAAATTTTGTCTGCGACCATCAAATGTCATGTAACGCACAGTTGTACTCGCACAAAGCTACACCTTACAGTCCGTGCGAGGAACGTTCTACCAGTTGAAAATGCTATTTAAAAACTTCTGTAACTCTTGCAAATTTTCAGATCTTGTAGTGTCCAGTTTATCTTTGAAATTTAAAGCTGGTGCTATGGTCTTCACGCACACGATTACATTTTGATTATTCGAGAACGCAGTCTATTATCTATTACTCTAAACTTCGATGCAAAACTCACTTTAATTAATCATCAGTGTCCTATATTGCCGCTTGCTGGTTGCACAGATAATGCCACAGTTCAAGATGCTCTGTCGGTGCGGTTGTGTCTCGAATTCCGCAGACACAACATGCAGTTGGCCACCACGCATCAAACTGAAATACACATCTAGGGAATTTTACGGCTCAATGAAAAGTTGTTCTGAATTTCGAAATTCGTACTACCAGCAAAGGGTACCTGATGTGATCATCGCCTCCGTCGACAATGCCAATTCCATCGTAGCCGAGCGAAACATGAACAAGATCGCGTAGCTTGGCGGGCAGAGGTTCTCTGCTACTCACCGCTGGTTCCCAAAGCAACCCTTAGAACGGAATCGGGAACTATAGAACTTCTCAAGAACTATTGAAAAAGCCTATTGTTGAAACAATGGATAAGAGAGGTATTTCCGAAAGACCAGTATAGGAGACCGGCTCGAGGAAGAATGAGCTCTCCGAGTCCGGACACTGCTTCGAGCGCTCCCCCCACTCTCCGCCTGCTCACATCCGCCGAATCCTGCTCGACGAATTTGCGCGCACACAATTTTAGGCATCTTCCAGTAATTTCTAAATATGCTTGGCCAGAATTTCCTATTTCTAAGTGTTAATATTTTAACATGTTAAAGGCATTTTTAAGAAAGTGCGGTGCCAACTTGACACTCATGTAGCACCTCAATTTTTACTAAATATTACTGACCAGATGGATGGGTCTAGGAACAATGAAGGCTTCCGGACACTGCTTCGAGCGCTCCCCCCACTCTCCGCCTGCTCACATCCGCCGAATCCTGCTCGACGAATTTGCGCGCACACAATTTTAGGCATCTTCCAGTAATTTCTAAATATGCTTGGCCAGAATTTCCTATTTCTAAGTGTTAATATTTTATCCGAGCCGATACGTCCCCTGCGTGACAGGCAGCCATCCTCACTTACGAGTACTAACCTCCGATCGCTGCCTTCGGGAACAGTCGTCAATGTTCGGATTTCGGTTGTACGTACGTAATTTATTTTCGATATTCTACAATTTCAATTCAATTTTTATCTACTCCGTATATTCTACGAGATTTTGATTTAGCCTTAATTTTATATTTTGAATAAATTTTGAAAATAAATCAAGATCCAGTAATATTTAGTAAAAATTGAGGTGCTACATGGGTGTCAAGTTGGCACCGCACTTTCTTAAAAATGTCTTTAAAATGTTTCAACAATAGGCTTTTTCAATAGTTCTTGAAAAGTTCTATAGTTCCCGGTTTCGTTCTAAGGGTTGCTTTGGGAATCAGCGGTGAGTAGCAGAGAACCTCTGCCCGCTAAGCTACACGTTCGTGTTCACGTTTAACTCGGCTACCACGGGATATACTTTGTCGACGGAGGCGATGATCACAAAATCCTACTTCTAGACTCACCGCTACGATTTAGCGCCATGATTTTGGTATAGCCTAAAACTGTAGCGTTGTGCATCTCCCTTTTAAACTCTGCAAGTAAATAACGTCCATCCGGTCTATTCTACGCAAGAACTCATTTAGATACATCTGGCTACGCTCACGGAATGCTGCCTTTATTATTTGCTCCTAAGAATTTACCAACATCCAGAGAGAGAAAGAGATAGAGCGTGAGAGAGTAAGAGGTACAGACGCAACTGGTCGGCGACCGGCAGCCGAGTATATTGTGTGGTGTAGCATTGACAGTTTTGTTTCGTTGGGTGATTATACGGGTTACGTAAAAGTTTTTATCCTATTCCAAAGTGTAGAGAGGTGGGTTAAGATTAATTTAGAGAAAAAGTAGATCTACAACAAGATTCTAAGAAAAGTTGTCGTGCTAATGAGAGGAGTCGATGTTTTTTTTGTTCGTAAGATCGCGCGTGCGTTTTATTTGTATTAACGAGGAAGCAGCATTGCGTGGCGTCGGTCTTGCTTGCGTATTTAAAACTTGGCCGTTTAGAGAAACGCATTTTCTCTACCCTTGCATATCCTAGCATACCCTCACTCACTTTATAGCCTCTGAGACTATGTACTAAACTTTTCTCGATTTGGCTGAGAGACGAACTCCGACTTAAATTTTTATTATAAAAAATTCTAAGTACACACCCTTTAATAGATTTCAGAGTATTTAAATCTAAACGAAGCTCAATCAGCTTGTACTTTCTCAGTGTGCAGAAGGTGAGCGTAAAAGATAGTGTGAAAGTGAAACTGGAATTCTGAGGGTGAGTGAGAGAGGTTGTGCTAAGGGTACAGAGAGTATAATTTTTTAAGCAGAATATTAATCATATCGTAGAGATGGGTAAAACGCCAAAGAAGGCGGTCCCGGGGGGCGATGAGAGGAATTTGTACATTCGGAGGCTTAAAACTGCAACCGCGTCGTCGAAAGCTTCTGATACGAGCTTACCTGAGAGACAGCGCGAATCCGAGAACGAGAACAGGTTTGTAAATTAATCAATCAGATGAGTCTGATGCTCTGTCGCAGTTTCTCAGTTTCTATGTACTTTGGGCTTTTTTTTGGGTCGTTGGTCATATTGATGATACTGCTTCAGCTGAAGGCAGTTTTGATGCATCGCTGAACACCTGGGATATTGTGCTTAGAGATACAGGTTGATAAGTAATGCAGTTTGCAATGTAACTAGCTTATAATTCATTATGTAGCTCAAGTAAACATTGCTCTAAATTGTATACGTTATTTAACCAACGTTGTATACAATCAATAACAGTAATGTATTTGTGCTTCGAATCAATCAGTTACAAAGCATTCTATAGCAACTGAGCGAGAGAACTATTCTAGCCACCTTATCTTACTTTCTAAATTGAATTACCAATACATTGTGTATTAACATACATATTTCATTTTGTTACATTGAAGTAATGGCATTGCTGTTGGTATTTCATTCGTCTAATATATTTGTTGTGAGCCTAATGAAAATGAGAAACTTTGAGTATACCTTCTTTCCAAACTCAGTTGAATTATTACCACCTCTCATCACCTCCGGTAGTTCTCTTATGAAAAGCTTTCAGTTATGTATGTTTACAATACATTCTTTTTTATGTATTCATTAACAATTGATATTTGTTTCAGATCAAAATTAAGTGGAACGCAAAAACAGTTACCAAGTAACACGGGAAAGACCTTCAAGGTAAGTGATATATATTTTTAAATGTATGAAAAAGCAATTATTGCCACACACCAGTATCAGACTATGCAATGTCCTAGTAAACTAATTGGAAATGTGTGTACTTTCCACTTTTTAATACTATTTAAATACTTATGTAAGATTCTTGATATCATAAGATTAACGCCATTACCACTCTATGTAATGACTGTGCTGAGTTATATTAGTCAATATGCCCCACTATCTTTTGACTCATTAATTAGTTTCTTTCTTATCATCGGTCACCACCTAACGTGTGACGTTCCTTAACTGTACGATTCCTCAGTGCGGGCGCAAGTTCCTGATATAGCGTGTAATCTCAAAGTTATCCCAACCTATTCATTTGCTAATTATTCAATAAAACTTCTCTTATAATATAAAGTCTACAGACGGAAATCCATATAGTGTTGTGCGTGTAGGTTGCAGTCGGCGAATTTTACTAACTAGATTTATTCTACAAAAACTTCAAAACAAGTGCGTGATGTAATTTAATATTATGTTTCTCTACAATATTCTGTTATAGAGTAAACTCCGCAGCCCGTCAAAGTCCGGTGTAAGCCGCTTGCCGAAACCGCAGAGTCGTGTAGCAGCCGCTTCAAGTAAAGAACACAAAAAACTGGAGCCAGCATATAAAGCAGCAAAAAGTATGATGTCGAAGTTGCAAAAGGAAGCAGAAGAAGCTGACGTCAAATTGAAAGTATCCATTGAAAAGGAAGACGTCAAGGAACAAAATCCAGAGAATGAAACCAAAGAGCAGATTACTGATAAAGAGGCAGAGAGCGAAACACAGACGAATGAGAAACTCGAAGATCAACATGGCTCGATAGATTCAGTTGAAAGCAACCAGAGTGATGCGATTATCCTAGCCGAAAAAGTGGTTACGCCACAGAATATCGAAGACACTTCAAAACCGGAAGAAATAATCACCGATGAAAAGAATAACCATAGTACAACAACCGAAGAGGATCAGGAAGGCAGTAATTTCCGTTTGAATTTCATAATCGAGGATGATAGTCCGAAAAAGTCAGAGGATAACTTCGCCGAGAGAAATAGTAGCCAGGAGGAAGAACAAGTAATCGAAATTAAAAATGACGAAAAAGAAATGAAAGCATCAATCACTGAGAAGGATGATAATAAAAGCGAGGCTCTAACAGATACAGAAAGCTACTCAGTAGACGTCGTAGAATCTACAACATCTGAAGTTTCTGAAGCATCTGAACTTGTAACTCAAATAGAAAGTGATAAGGTGGCGGAGAAATCAACGTCAATTCCAGGAGATGACGTATCCTTTGTAACATATGATTCCAACATAATGTTGAAGGATGTCAAAATTAAACTTAACGATTGCCTCAAGGATAATTCAAAGCTTTTCGACACAAGTAATGCTGATAATAGTATTTCGGAACCACTCTCAAAGGATTCCTCCTTCGGTAGGACCCTCAGAAATATTTCAGGCAGACATTCAATCGGTCGCATGCGTCACGTTACCCTGCGTGATCGTAGATTGTCTCCCAACAATTCACTTTTTGTGAATACATCCTCAGCATCTTTACCAGCCGAAGAAGCGGGTGAACAGAAATTTTCACATTATCGCAGTGACCTCTCAGAGAAGTTTAGCAGTAATGGCAGTGCCATGGAGAAGAAACGTAAACTGGAATTGGATGCTTGCAACTCAGCTAAGAAAATCAAAACCAATGAAGAATCCAGCTTTTTGAATTCATCAATCGGATTGTTGAGAGGATGGCGCAGACCAATCCAAGTATCAACTCCTAATGTAGCAGGTTATAAACTCAAGCCAGATAAATTAAATATCAGCGGAATTCATGGGCGTAATGACAGAATTTTAGATAATGAATCCGAAGTCACCAAGAATTGGTGCACTGTCATGTAATCTGTTTTTGAGAACATAAAACCTGAGAGATTGTTTTTGAATATCGAGAGGGAAATTTACAACAAACGTAACAAAAACCATTTTTAATGAACGAAATGGAAGAAACAGATTACTGATTTTGCATATAATTTAAGGAAGTGAAAAATCAAATGGTTTTTATTACACTTGTTATAACCTTCCTTGTAAGTCTGAAAGTCATCGTGCATTTGCCAAAAAATTGTATGTATTCTAACATTTTTCAACAGATTAGAACTAATGCGCGATAAGAAAATATTCCTCACGTATTTTACCTATCTCGGTAATATCCTTATCAAAGTACACTTTCATTTTTTTACACATTAATTGAAACATTTATGAGTAATGAGGTTCCATTTTGTTTTATCATAATCACAGATTATGCAACTATGGAGTGGAAGCTCCTTTGAATCAAACTACCGTTTGCCATCAGAAACTGGTAACTAAGAAATTGAGTCAGCATATTCATGTACAAAGATTTAATCTCAATTTTCATAAATATTTTAAAAGGTATCTCAAATTTCTACCATTCTAATTTGATATGCCAGACAAGCCATTTTAAGATGTTCAAGAGGTAACAAAATTGTTACACAGTTACGATTATAAATTATTAGGATCACTCATCAAGTATCCCTATCTTTGACAGAGATAAGAGTAACTACATGGTTTCCTATTAATTCATAATTGTCGTGCAGCCATTGTCAGGCTTATGAAATTTCATTGTAGTCACTTTAGAATCACCGTTTTATTCGCCATGACATTACAAAAAGAGTAGACCCTCCTAAAGCCAATTAATGCGGCTCCTTATTTACTTAGAATATAAATTAGGTCAGACTGCCTTTGTCTACGTTAGTGCTTTCGTGTCCGAGAAATTCAAACCTTTCTGAAAGCATGTGAACAAATGCAAAATAATCCATAAGTATGAATTATTAATTTGCTTATTTCCAAAGGCATTCTTTTCTTAAGATTAAATAATTAATTTAAGTAACACACAGACATATATATAAATATATACATATGTCAGTCCTACCTTAATTCATATTTGCTTTCTACGTCCTTATTTCGTTTATTAAATTAACTGTCTGATTTTACCAGTTTATCAATGTAATATCATAATAATATTTGCAATAGTGTAAATGGGTATTTATAATTTATTACAGTCCTGAGGTAAAACAAAAAAATATCCAAGAAAGACAGGTATCTGAGTTCACTCCTCGAGTTTTATTCATTTCCAAAATTCACGTCAGTACTAACACATCTTAAGCTTTCTTTAAACTTTGCTTACATTGAGATATAGTTTAATTTTGTTTATCTTCAGAAAAAATATTTCTTTAAATAGTATGTAAAGGCTACCTATACAAACTGTACAACATACAGTAATATATATTGTGTATCTTCAACGTAGTTTACCACATGGTAAAGGAAATATTGTACAACAATAACAGCATTTAGGTCTTAACTTTTTTTTTGTAAGCAGTATCTTTTCAAAATTTCCAATATCTCGTGCCTCGTTTCCTAAATTTATGTGGTACTATGTTGCTCAAGATTTCGTCTATTTTTTAGCTGTTGGACATACTCGATACAATGAATAGAGTCTTAGGCACATGTATGGAATTTATGCACGCGCAGAAGAAAGTGCTTTGGTGAGATAAGGAAAAGAAATTTACGAATTATTCGACCAAAGTTAACTATGAAAAGGCCATTCTATGTATAGTCCCTAGGACGGAATTGGGAATCATTAGGTACCTGATTTACATGATTTTGTATGTTCACTTTTCAAAGCTATGAGGCTGTTTAACAGTTTCGTATGGTTGACAGTTCTGGTTTTTTTTTTCCCATTTAATGCCTATATATTAAACCAATTTCCGTCGATGAATTCCTCGAGATTAGACATTGGATGGTCTGTTATACTTTTTAATTCATTAACAAGAACAGAAGTATTAGGCTAAAGAATTAAAAGATGTACATAGAGAGTATGAAATTTATAATAAATGATCCATTGTCAATATATATTTGTTATATTGTACCTTCCAGAATCTTAAAATATTATTGTGAGGTAATCGTATCAAAGTAGGCGCCATAAATTCAAACCGTAAGGATTAAAATTATATTTTTTGTTATATTTTCAGTACAATTTTTGGTACAATCAAATTTCCCTAGATTGTATCAAAGCCTAATGTGTTACTAGTAGCTTGAATACTGTGTATACGTATAGATCTCAGCACTCAACTGGAAAATGTCGAAACGTGTTTACACATGTGCGTCACATACGGTCGTGCCGATATATAAATTATTATTTCAACGCCATATTTCTCGAAATTGATATTGCGCGTTAGCGCCAACCTCGAAAATTCATTGACAATCTGTTTTTATGTATATTTTTATTACAAAAGCTCTTGTAAAAAAGTCATAATGTACAAATAATGAGTCTTACATATAAAACTTAAATTACACTTGCTCGTTGACACTAATTTATTCAATCGATACGTTTATTAATATTACGTAGTAAACAGACTGATTTTTTTCAATTACACTTTTATCAATAATATCCCTTGCAGTCATTATCAAACACAAATATAAATTTCAAACAGTATAACAATGAAATAATTTATTAGCTAGCAATTTACATTTTTCAAAAACGTCAAAGATCCAATTACTGATGTTTTAAACGTATACCAGCCTCCTGATTGGCCCTCAGATCTACAGTAATAATATTTTTGTACAGTTATAAGGTTTTCGATTCCGCACATCTTATTCCCCCCAAAGGTCCGAAAATTCGAGTCATGCAAATATCTTTCCAAACGCATCAAAAGAATCCTTCCAGACCTTATCTCCTGTATAATGAGCTAAGAGAATTCGAGAACAAAGAGTAACAGAATTGATTTCCGACGATTCAAAGACACAAACGTAACTCATCCGTTTTATACGAACCATCCGAGGTTACATAACCTTATTATTTGGAACTGCAATATACCACACTGAATACCGCAGGCAAATAATTAACTGATAACGAAGTCGCGTTATTGCTACATATTATAAATTCATTAAACGTTACCCTATTCGAAGTAACTCAAGTTCAATTAATTTAAGAGGTAAGTACTACAGCCTTGTACAGGCAAGGTCCTTGACAACCTTCTCTAAGGCCAGGCCAAAGTACGGACCTGATCCTGGCGCCATTAGGATCCGTGGAGGCATGGTGCCTTGCATGGACCTCCCTTCTGAATTCAACTCCTTGCGCGACGTCCAATACCAAAGGGGTTGTTCTGGCTAAACATATCCACGCTAGACTCGAGCAGTTCGCGGCGTATTGCTTAATCTCCGTGCAGCCCCTTAGACAAGGGAAGTCGTAGAGGGTCCTTTCGAGTTGGTTAACCACTTGCTTAGCTACTTCCTGTGCGCCAGTTTGCACCCCTGCAGTCGCCAGCTGATGTCTGATACAATTATCCATTTCCGTCGAGACCGAAACGTTCGACGTTCCCATTGGCTGCCCGTTTATCCCGTTTAAAATCTTGAGCGCCTCCAGGCGCCGCGAACTTTGAATCATACCGGCCAGACGCCATGATAACTGCAAATAAAAATCATCGACTTCCTTTAATATAGGATCCATGTTATAGTTAACGTATTGCTTATAAAGAATCTCCTGAATTTCTGCGACTGCTTATTCGCGATGCCATTTGGACGTCGCTATCGTCGTTCAATGCGTGTTAACTTACTACTCGGCTCGTGCCTTCACGGGCTGCAATCAACTTGACGAATTGCAGTTCGATTCAATAGACCTCTAGCGAAGTAGCCGTTTCGAATATAAAATTCCAATATTTCTTTTTTCTACAACCGCAACTATACAATAGCTAATAATAAGTACTTTGGTGCGTGCTTTTCGGCTGTTATCACTGCTGTTCATTTTAGATTATTGATTTTCTAAGGTTGGTAAAACGCCTGGTGTATTTGTATGCAAAGCAATAGCCTCGGGCTGACAGACTGGATCCTTTACTACTTGCTGTGACGAGTACACTCTTCGACAAAAATACATGAAACGTAGCTTTTAGTAGATATTCATCGTCCTGATGACATCGTGTTTCTAAACCCAGGGACAAAAGCTTCAATTGTTCAAACAATGCATCAATTGTTCACTTTTAATTGCTCGTTAGGTCCATTTAAATTTTATATAATAGGTTTAAATAAAGTAAACGAAATTTCCCCGACGTATCTAATCAGTATAAGGTTCATTCTTACAGGACTAGAGGGGCAGCCACCCTCGAAGAAAATGTCGGAAGAAATTTCATCAGCCAGTGTTTGTTCGCGGATAATTACGTTACGTGATGGAAACTAATCTCGTGCCTGATCACGGTTAATGTGTTTATATCCCAATATAAAGGGAAATAAATTTTGTTGATACATATCTTTCGTGTTTCCTTTGTTCTTTACGAAGTCTGCACATTTTCTACACAGAGTACATAGTGCTCTTCTTAATATGTGCACTTCAGCTTAGCCGTGGAGAGGGAGAGAGAGATAGAGATTGGAATTAGGGGATGATGGATATATACATATATATAGAGAGAGAGAAAGAAGGAGAGATGAAATGTTGAAAAACATATATAAATATAGGTGCACGCGTATATGTATATATGTATATATATATATATATATATACACACACATATATGGTCACACGTGAGGTTGAAAATCCCAACAGAGATCCAACTCACTGTACATTTAAAATTATGAGTTTATTACAAGCTGAATGTGTGGGAACGCGTGGGCGGAATCCGAGCGGAGAATTCCTCGGTTTTTGTGGCTCTCGGCACTAATTGCGCGCACGGAAGAGCCAGAGGAATTATTTGCAATTGTTCTGCTAGCTGCTACGTAGGTCGGCGTTTCGAAATTTGCATCGGTCGGTTGTACAGACGCATCCACATGCCAGATACACGCGTATGCGAATATTTCTGGGAAAATTATTGCCTCGTGATATTTTGTACACTGTACCTCGTTAATTGTATTTTGCTAATTATGACTTGCTGGATCTTTGCACATTACCAATACGACCGGCGTCCACATTTTAAAAAGAAAATACGCGCTGGCAATAAATAGGAAATATTTCCTAGCTTCCTTTTTTGGCTTTCATAGATCTTCCACGTGCACCAGGAATTGGCGATTAAAATCTTTACTATTAGTAATAACGCGGGTCACGAACTTTGCACGAACCTACGTGTGTTATTTTTGCAAAAGTATGCAAATTTTGTTTCACTTCAATAAGTTTCGTTCAATTCGTTATCGCGAAATGAATTTTGGACTGCAAGTAGTGTTTTTAAAAATGCTCTTCGTACTGGTGAATCTAAGGGTAATTAACGTTCTTATTTATTTAAACAAATGTATAATTAAAAACTTACCACTACCACCGAGTAGAGAATTTTTGCTTTCAGGTCGGGAGTGTCTTTCAGGGAATCCAGTGCATCAAGTGCATCCAAAGTATGCAAATGCGCTTGAGCATACAGAGCACCGTATCTTTCAGTTAGTTGCTCGACGCTCGGTTGACCAATGTGAATATTTTGAAAATTTTCCTGGCCATCAACACTCTCATTTCTGACTTCCGGTTCCGGCGTAGGACTGCCACTCTCGTCCGTGTGATATCCTGCGCTGCTAGATTCCTCCTCGTAATCATCCAGTACATTATTCTCTAGATGTAGCTCCTATAAAATATAAAAATAAATCACGTACTGCAAAACGTTACAGGAACTCAACAAATTCTTCGTGCTGTAAGTGGAATTGATTAATATACGATATACGTATACCCGGTCGTTCAGCCCAAACGTATCACCTGAACATGGTTCTATCATAAGAGTCAAGTAAAGGTGCTGACTTCAGTTTGGACTGAATAAACACTGAATGAGAAGCAATAAAAAAAAGCAGTATAGCAACAATCAGCATAAGTTGAAATTCTATTTCACTGACGGCACGAACTCTGAACTGAAGTAAATTGAAGTAATTCCATAAAACTGCAGAGGTTCGTTAAGAGTGTTCTCATGAAGACTGCACTCTTACTTGAGGATTGTTTTCGCTCATCAACTGCAAAGCCAGTCCGCAGCCTCTTGAGAATTGTAAGAGTCTCGCGGCCAATGCAGGATTCTTATTACTACTGGTGCTGCTGCCATCAGACTTCCTCAGTGGCGCCCACTGCCTCAGGGCTTCCTTATCTTGTTCCACTCTGCGTTTCAATTCGTCCAATAAATTTTCGAAACTCAGACTGCTGGTCTTCTCCAAGGTGTTCAGTAGACTTTGATTGTCGATCAGTCGTTGCTGAATCTCGCTGTATTTCAAGGACAGTTGTCTTTGATGGGAGGCAGCCTGGACCCAGTGATCTGAAAAATGATAAGTCTTTGTAAAATTGATATTTCGCACTGAATACCAAAACGGAACAGCCTGGGAATTGTCTATTTGATTTTTATTTATGTATTACCAATTTTTAAAATCTATTATTGTAACCGGGGTCATAACTGTTTGATCGAACGCCGACCGTTAGAATGCACAACATGTGCAAACGTATCGATGTTCTGTCAGGGAGATATATCTGATAAACATATATGTACGTTTAAGCAAATTTTCGACTGTTGGGACAAATAGGATATATTTTTAGAAAATTAATAGAATGCGCACCGACATTCAAACTTTAACTAGTTAGCCTACTCAAGATTAAAGCAGCCGCGAATTATGACGGTGAGGCGATATTCGAAAATAAGTGAAAATTTATAACAATTAAAAAATATCTTGTCCCATCGTCTCCTTGTAATAGACTTTCCAATAACTTTAATTGCTATTTAATCCAAATACCTTTGTGGCTTCCAGCGTGCTTTCCGAAACTCTCGATCTTGTGCAAAGCCAGCTTGTAAGCTTCCGTCCGTAATTCAAGTTCCTCTTTAAGGGCAATAGGCAGGGGAACAAGATTCTGAGTATTAGCATTTTCAGAATGCTTACTCCTGGCGGAAGGAACAAGACCATGTTTCCCAAGACCTTCCACAGCTCTTTCCAAAGCTCTTCGTCTCGTAGCAAGAGCATTCTTCGATGTCGGCGCTAGTCTCTGAAGCGCAGCAAGCAGCTTGGCCCAAATTCTTACGTGGAAGTGATCCTGAGTACTCGACACAAGATGCACCACCTTCCACAGGACTTGTTCAACACGTAATATCTTTGCGTCGTCAACGTTGAGTTCAGAAAGTCTGGAATAAAGGGCCTCGAGCAGTGCGAGACTATGGGGCAGTGTCTCAATTAGTAAATCGATAGGAATATCCGGCAGGGCAGCCCTGAGCGTATAACCAGGAAGTCGCATTAGAAAACCAGCAGCTTCACGATACTGTCTTCCTTCGTAAAGCCTCAGCAATCTGAAACATCCATTCAAGAGCCAAAGATAGGATGGACAAGCATGAACGGTCCTGGGGAGAGACCAGAAAAGGTCAAAGGACGTTGAACTTGACCCTGAAATTTTAATACCTCCTCAAGGCCATACGTGGATTCGAGGCTTCATCTTCAACTGGATCCAAGTGACCGACTTGAAATTGGGCCCCGGACCATACCAGCCTCTGTATTGGATTCCTGGGCCGTTCGGGCCTTATCCTCTCGCAAGAGTTAAGACCCACGAACGGTAAGGTACGTCTGCTCATTTCTTCTTGCTGATCTCAACCGTGACCACAATCCACAATTTTCACCTTCTCTTCTTCCTCATATACTGTATCCTTTCTTTCCTTCTGAATCTGCCTTCTCTTGCTTGGTCCTCCGTTTGGATACACAGATGACCTATAGCTTCAGGGCGTCGGCCCACTTCCCATGAGCGGCCGAACACGCGGATTCACATCACCCGGGCGCTTTCTAGTTCGTATCGTCGGCACTGACGTCTCCCTATCCTGTAATCCCCCTGGGAAACGTTAGGCGGATTTACATAAATTGAATACAATAGACCCATCCCCGTAGCGACCTGCCACAGCCGCCATACTCGATTTCAACGTCCGGGCTGATTGTCAATATCAAAAACACTTTGATACAGAGACGAAGCACGAGTCTTTAAAAAAGTTTCACCTTAGGGGATATTTTAGGGTGAACACTTGAATCTCTTATCAAGCCCTTACGGGTATCTAGCTTATTTATCTATAGATTTGCACGGTATTTATTTTTTCATCTCTTATTTTATAACCCACATGAAACTTACCCTTTTGGATTCCCTTTTCCTCAGAATACTCAAGTAACGACCTGGAGGAGGAACGGGGTCCGTGCACAGAGTGGCACTATGAATGAAAATGGATTTACAATGGTACCAAATTGTTTAATTGAAATCCTGTGCCGGGACTGATCACCTCAAGCGTTCAGGAGGCACTGATTCACTTTGATGAAAATTCTCACGACACCTTCACACCGCCACGTGTTCAAATTAAGTCGTTCTCACTGATCACACGATTTTTCGAATTTCACTACCGCCTCAAGGAAGCCTCCACTGGGTCCTTGGGTATCGCCGGAGAATTTCAAGGTCCGGATCATCCAGAAACGCAGACTCTGGCGAATCCAGAGACACGTGTTCCGACATATCGAAGTCCAGTAGGCGAATGCGGGGCCGAAATCCTGAGCTCGGAAGTATAGAGTCCCCGATGCGTAAGGTGGAAGTGGTTAGTGGGGCCCGAGGGCCCACGATAACTTCTTCGGCCGGGGAGAGAGAGTAGAGGAGGAGTACCAAGACAGCTCGTGGGGCCTGCTGTCTGCTGGAGATGCTGATGCCGACCTACTGTCCTGCATACCAGCCACGACAACCTGCCGGTTACTATATACGCCATTTAATATATCGAAAACCCAGAAAGTTCCTTTGTCCCATTATCGAACTCAGTGACGAGTACGTGCATTAATAATCTACAGTAAGCACCATATAAACAGATGTGGCACAGTACTGACTCCGTGTTAACAAGATCCAAGCTAATGCATTATGTATGTGCATTCACAGTGGATTCTAAGAGAAATTGAATTTACTTGAGACAACGTTTGAAAAATTCGAAAATTCTAATGCACAGAACCCATTACCTACCCCAATGCAGTATCGGCTGTCCGATCCAAAGTTCCTGTACTGTCCGCTACTGCATCTCCGTCGGATAAGATCGGTACTGTCAGTGGTGATGAAGGTCAAAAAATAATTTTCAAATCCACTGCCTTGTCGACGTATGACTTACGTGTTATTACGTAAGAAAATGAGATTGAAGTTTTCCTAAAGTTTAGCCAAGAATAGTCCTCGGCGTCCTGAAATAGTTTATTCGGACTTAGCGCAACGTCTTTTCACGTAAAAAGCTTAAGTGACTCTTAAGTTACAAGGAGGAAAGCTGCTTTCCCACTTTCTTACTAAAATGGCCACGACGCTAGCTATCGGTATACGCTTGCGGATATCAACGTTAAATTGCTCGGCACAGAACAGCCAAGTTAATTAATCATCGATGTCAGAACTTGAGTCAAGACAAACCGTGCGGTGTGAATGTGGTTTTATTAACTTTATTCGCTACTTGTGGATTCCGTATGAGAAACGTATACAACTTATGGAACGCCACAATGAACTTCCTGTGGCCTGACCGACTCGTTACGTTCCGTAAACGTTTCCAGAGCGCGAGATAGCACGATGCTTACCACGAAGAAACCATAGGGATCAGTTAAGGTTAGCAATAAAATGAGAAGGAACGTTACGTCGCTCCAGTCCTCGATATTTAATTTATCCCCATGTAGGAAATCAGGAGCGGAAACTGTCATCTGGCATTGTTAAATTACTGGGTATTACAGGCATGATGATATTTACGAGGAATATTACAGAGGTTCCCCCTTTGTGTAGATCGTAAGAGGATTGCTGCTGATGTCTCTGGGGAGCCCGGAGGCCGGACAGAAAGGTCGCGACTTATGAGTTTCCGCAACTATCATATATATATATGTATATGTATTTACATTACGCGCATTTACGAGGACTCGGGATACATAAAGTGCACCCTCCATTACAGTAAAACGGATCGCAGGTCGGCGAGGAACTTGGCATCGGCAAAGTTTCTAGTGAAATGCAAAACTTGATACTTTCTCTGCGCATCCTCATAGAAGCCTCCTTCATAAATCAGGCATCCAATATGGGGACGATTACTTTTTCAATGGCGAAGGGCTTTCACGAAATCGTTTAACTTTCGCTTCTTTCTCGTCTAAGGTGAACACGCGCGTGAAATTTGTTGCGATGAACTATAGCGAAATCGTAAGGTGCGCTAGCAAAATCGATACACGATAATCGATAGGATGCCAGGTGGTAAGGTTCGATTAAAAGAATTAATCGAAACTCGAATAAAAATGTGCAAAAATCAATATTTAATCGACACGTAAGTGATGTATAGAGTAATAGTAAGTGATGTCGATAGAGAAAATCAACGAAAGGATTAATTCTTTAAAAGGAAATAAAAAACCCGATTGGAAAGTGACTGAACTACTCGTGATCGCCTATACCCGTGCTAATGTTATTAGTCGATTTTGAGGCTAGAATAGAAAAGTCATTAGCATAAACTACAAACTGTTATGACGTTTCATCTTCAATTTTTAAAGGCAGATCGAAACGCGACACACTCGGCACGAGTGACGCGGCTTTCCCTGGGACGGTAAGCGCCGCCACGAGGCGTCTAACTCGTTCAGTTGAAGGTTTGATAAATAGGAAAAACATTTTGCTAAGCTACCTTACAGCTGAGCCAACGTAAACAAGTACTCGTAGATATACAAGACGGGTTAACCGAGCATAAAACATCTACGTAGGTTGGTATAGATAGCAGCGTGTAACGTTGCGCAATTTTTACTCCTTTTGACAATGACTGGCGTCGGTTGTCCTTTTCAAATTTTTCTTCCTTCCCGCCAATTTCTGTACCTCGTTAAATTACCTGGGGCAACGTTCACGCTTGGTAGCAGGGTAAATCGGTACGCGACGAAAGATGCTGAATAATTGGAAAACTGTGAGAAAAATGAGTTGGACTTTTTAAGATATTTTTTATTATTAAACAAACGTATAAAACGGATGTGCCATATTAATTGGAGTTCTCGGGTAAGAGAGTTTACGTTGCCCAGTTGGTCACGAAGTGACTGTATCTTTAGGTAAGGAAGACAAGCGGATAGGTACGACCTGCAAGTTTCGTAGGACTTGTAATGCACTGTTTACCGATTGTACAAGTACGTTCTGCAGGCTTCATCATATTCTGTGGTACTTGTAACGATATTACAGTCCCGTACCGAGTCTACAAGATGTAGATACTGACTGCACTCGGTAGATACTGACAAAAGGATATCTACTCTCTTGTCAGATAGGTAAGCCGTAGTCTAGACTCCAGGGAACCTAAAAAAGTCTGCAGTTCATGTAGTGTTTTAGGCTGGATTGGCGTCTACGTTAATATTCGCATAGCTACAAGTTACAAGTAGGTACACTGTTCTCTGGTGTACAAGTGAATGACCGCCTTCCTACAGAAGATTTCACCTCTCTGGGCCATAAGCCGGCCGAGACACACTGTCAACGAAAAGGAAGGAGCTACAGTACGAGAGAGACTCAAGATACTGTATGAGTTCGTGAGAGAGAGAGAGAAAGAGAGAGAGGGAGGGACGAGGTAGGACAGTAAAGAAAGGTGACGGTAGGCATAGTATAAGAGAGGGGGAACGACAGAGAGATAGTATCACAGTGATCGAGCTGATATTCGGGCAATGCCCTTGCCGTTTGCCAAAATCAAAACCCCATCGTTCTCTGCTTACGCCTACTATCTTATTGGCTCTCCCTCTCCCGCTCCCGCTCTCACTCTCTCTCTCTCTCTCTCTCTTTCACTTCTATAAAATGCCTGTTGGCACGTTGCTCTTTCCTCCTGTGCTCTCTCACGTTCTCACCTCCTCATCATTCTCATTCTTCTCCTCCTCTGGCTCATCCCTCCCGGTTCGCCAGCTGTGTACTAGATTGGGAAACATTGCAGCCGAACATGACCCAATTTCTCGAATCGTCAATTAAGCGCGAAAACAGAAACGACTCGCCGGCCCTGTAAAAGCAGACTCGTCACACCTAACCGTCGCACCAGCCCTGATCTCTTGGTGTCCGCGTATCTCAATGAGTGCATCTCTCTTGCTCTTCCTCTCTTTCTCTCACTTCAACTGTCGGAGTAAATATCTCCGCGACTGGCGGCAAACGACGATTCATGAAATCGACTGAATGAAATTAAACCCTAACTCGACATGACGTAACGACAGTAATGGAAATGACGTCCCTTCGTTCAGAAGATTCTTCGTCTCATTACAGCATCGTCGAATGACGAGCGTCGTTACGGCCGAATCGTGCCTCTGTATCTGACAGGTCTCTGTTTAGGTCTTTGAGGAGGAAGGATTTAACAAAGAACGTATGAGGAATCATTAGGAGGAAAAACGATGTCGTCGTATTCCGGCCAGGATAAGCTTAAGTAAGTTAATTCTGTGTCGTCCAAATGAAATATAACGACAATCTACGTCTTTGTCTGGAGTTATCTACGTCTATTTTTGACGGCTTCGATGTATATCTACCGGGTGTGCTTGAGTTAATAAATTCAAGATTTAACCAGCTTGGACTAACAGATGACAGAGCAATGCCACCAGAAATGTTGACCTGATGCTCGTTCTCGCGAAAGGAGAACGCTCGCGACGCCACATGACGCCTCTGAGAATCGACGCTAAGGGTAATTCTTCTTGGGTTTAACCTGCAGAAATAGGCCGCAAGGCAGGAGGCAGCCAGGCAGGTAGGTATAGGTAAAAGTATAGGTAGGTGCTACGTGTCGCGGACGAGGCTCGTGATCGATAGGGTATACCTACCTTTACTATATGTACCCCATGCTAATACAGACCTACCACCATAACCCATGGCAACGTTGGCGAACCTGTGGCGATGACTCCATACACGCGCCGTTGTACTTACATGAGACGCCGGCAGGTAACGTGTTATATTATGTACATAAATAATGTATACATGGTACCTGGACGTCAACGAGCGAAAATATCTGATTCTTCCAATTTTTCATAGTTCTCGCTCTTTCTTTGACAACTTTGTATACACGTATACATTGTGAGAATTCGATTTGCCTTTTGTTATATTATGTTTAATCCGAAACATTGTCAGAATGTATTTCTATATATATTTATCAGGTTGGTGCTGACGTCTCTTGGGCCTTTCTCTCTGGCTGCTGGCTGCTGGCTGTTGGATGCTGCGACGTAAAATACGAGACATCGCGAACGACCTTGTATTTCAATAGATAAACTCGAGAATTATCAAGGGGTGCGATAAATTCTGAAGGAGAAAACGGGAAGGGTTTATATCGGCACGTTTTGCACGGGAGGATTTTCAAAAGCACCATTGCTCCAGACTACTGGTAAAAGCAGTGTTGGGATTAGTGTATTGGTAAGCAGACAGGTATAGTTGGGTCTTTCTAGTTCTTTAACATATAAAAGTTACGCGACCTTTATCCTATTTTAAATCCTTATCTGAATAATGGCCATTGACAGTCTTATCTGGATGACTGTGAAAAGTGCTGTATTATCTATGGCTGCAATCTTATTCTTATATTCCCTTGAATCAGCAACTCTTCTTCCCTTCGAGCCACGTAATGCTACTGATAATTAAGCTTGGAACTTTTCTTCACTCGACCGTACTCACGATCCCAACGCTTACCCCGGGCCAAGTGCCGTAAAAGAGTTTTTCACGGTTGCGATTCAGGCCTATACTACCACATCTCAATTACGTGGAATTTTTTTCATTAGAGAATCCGAGCGACTGGAAAATGGGGTCGGTGCACGGTAATTCGCGTATGCCGTGATTGAGGATGGATTTTATAAAGGTGACCACCCGGTACATAGTGGCAGACAAGCACACAGCCCTACTCGGTCAGAAACGACCCAAGCAAGGTAGTTTCAGTAGAACAGAGCATAGTACTCCTCAGTGTAGTAAAGTAGCGTGGAACGAGCGAGGCAAGGCAGACCCGTCAGCCTGCCTGCCTGCCTGCCTACCTGCCTACCTACTAGTCAGCCAGCCAGCCAGCCAGCCAGCCAGCCTACCAGTCAGGGTAGTTAAGGCAGGGTGTGACAGATTTCACGGGACGCCGAGCTAACGAAAAACTAGTCGGCTGTGAGGTGAGAGGGCAGAGACTCACACTCCCTTCGACCGTTTCATCAGCCTCCTTTACTCCTTTTATCCCACATTCCTGCACGTGAAACACCGGTAGATAGGCTACATTCGGAATATCCTAACCGTAGCTGCTGCGCCAATTTTAACCCTATCCGCGAGCGAAGCCGCGTCGAATACTTTCGCGCTTTATGCACTTGAACGAACCAGACCGATTATA